CTGTTCCTCGTCCGCACTTGGCATAGAAACGGTGGAGCATCGGCTGGCGCTACCGTACCGCGAGCGGCGCATCACAGAATTCCATACTCTTTCCATGATCATTACCATTTCCAATTTCTATTCCATGTCCGCACTTGGCATAGAAACCGTGGCACATCGCTGCTGTTGCCGTATAACCGCGGACCGCGGAGAATCCGCGTCCGCCATCGATTCCCGACGTCCTTTCCCTTCGCCCCTCACCCTTTCCCCCTCTCAAACGTCCCAGCGACCGTGGCGCTCCGGTCGCTCCGGTTCAGACATTATAGTCGCCGCCAAAGCGCCAGACGGATCGCGCATTCTCCGGGCGACCTCGGCGATGTTGTCGGCTGAAATATTTTGGAGGTAAATCTCCTGAAAAAAAAATAATTGTTGCACTTATTTCCCAAGTTGTCAAACCATTCGAACGTACTGCTTGCTATTGATCTGGCAACAGCACATCTTTAAGGTACTGGGGTACTGCCTCTCTGGTCCACCTGATAAATACCGACAAGGTGAAGCAAGTCGTCTTTGCATCATCTCGAAAGCCGTGTTGTCAGAGCTTATCATATAACTGAGTGTAAACTGTGCTCAGATATATGATGTGCCTATTTCTAGTGTATAAAAATTACTCACGTTACGATTTGCTTCTGTATTGTGATATTCATTGATTAGGAGGTAATACATTTCTACATCCTACCTGTTTAAACGTCGGGAAAAGTGTTTGCTGTTAATTTGTGTACGTAACAGAATAACACACCTTCATGATGATGTTATGAGCACTGGTATAATGGGAATATGTTGGTGTTTGATCATCAAGTAGAAGTCAAAATACCGTTTTACTTGCCAACTGCAGTGAACGTCAATGAAAATCCACACAAGAAGATCAATCCTTGAAATCAGTTTATGCTGACTAGAATTATTGATTTTTTATAGAACTCCTGAGTCCCGGGTTTCATCATTATTGTGAGCAAAATTGAAAAAAGAAAACGATTGAAACATACCTTGCGGCGTTTGAAGAAGCGATTGAAATATGGATGGCCGCGAAATCTGCAGGCCTTGATTTTTTATTGGTTATGTTCATGTTTTGATGAAAGCAGTTATCCTTCTAAGCTGCTTGGTACACCACATCATTCTTTAGATAAACTAATGGTAAAATACACAGATTAATGGCTCTATTATGTATTAGTTACAAATCATATCACTGAAATCATGAATGGTTTTATGTATATACGGAAAATCAGATAAACATTCGAACACAAAAACACCTAAACCCTTCAAACATGCTAGCGACGCGATCATAGTCGCGTAGCAAAATAGATGTTTTGCCGTATTACTTTTTAGATAAAACTATACCAATCAGCCACAAGAAATTAGAAAAACTAAAAGTTCACCTATACCACAATTTCTTTTTCAGCAGCCACGTATTTTTTACCAGTTTCTTACATCTCTCTTTTAATAATAAAATTTCATCAAAATCCGGGTTGAGCTGAGCTCTTACTTTCTCCAAAAAGTTATTACACAATTTTTACATTTTCAGAACATTTCAGACAGCAAAGTTATGACTATTTTAGCACACAATTTGGCAACGTTGTAGTAGCTTCACCATCAAGTGCGCTGCGTGGTGCGGCCGCGGCCCGCGGAGCAGGCATCCCCTTCTTCCCCCCAATCGCCGAAGGAGTAGGTATTCGTCGGTCGCGTAGTCAGTCGCCTGGTGGTAAACAAAACAAGGTTTGAGGTCCGTTGTCGGCCCGCGGTTTGATACTGTAGTGCTCCAGTGCCCGTGACCGAAAAAACGTGGTGGTGTGCCTACCCTTAGCCATGAGGGTGCTACTGCCGGTGGTGGTGGCATTTCTGTTGGCCGCCCAGCTTTCCGACGCCAAAAGAAAGCGAAACAAGTTCGAAGGCGACTTTGAGTTTGCTGAAGAGGTAAGTGACATGATGATAGGTGCTTTTTTTCTTTTCAGATAATGCACGCCCACCTCTGTCATTGAAGAATGATTTGTCGGCTCGCACCTTGCGTTTTACGTTTATTGCTTCTCATTGTGGGTGTGCGTTTTAGGGGTGCAGCGGTGAATGATAGTATGCAAAGTTGATGGTTTTGTCGATACTTCATACATTAAGAAGGGTGGATTCACCCCTTCTACACGCAATAACGAATAGGAATAGAAAATATTCACATGGGTGAAAAATAACCTTGGTAGATCACTCTACAAAATCAACTTAATATACCATTAAACTTACATACTCAAGTAGTCGCTTACATTTGGTGTTTTTAGACACCGCATTGAAGTTCAGAAGATACTGGGTCAGCTAAAAGATACCCGAATCTTAGAAGCTATCTCAAACAAAGATCAGAAGACACTGGAGGCAAAACACATCCAACTATTCAAAAGTGAAATAAAACTTTGTACAACTGAATATGATTACCATTACATTATCAACTTCGTAAGGATACCCCACATCAAATATCAAAACAATGTCAAATGGGACATGATGGAATTGGAGATTTAACGTTGCTGCAGGTCTTTGTATGCGGTCAACCCGTTTTCAAATTTTAAATTGAAAATAGCCGGCTTACCAAAACGTTAACCTTATTTGTCATTCAAGCCAAAAAAAGGATGTGTGGCAAATGTAAAATAAAGTCGCTCATGTATGTCGTAATGAATTACAAATTTAGAAGGAAAATATAATTTGACGTTTAGGCGCCCTGACGATAATTTACACCGAGAAAGTCCGCCGAGGTGGCTCAACACGCCAGTAAAAGATTCCTTCTACATCTATCCATAGGAGTTACAATAAGTCTAATGATCCGTCATTTGTGGATAGGAAAGGGTGGTCAATAGATCTGAGAAAGAAAGACAATCACATTATACAGCTTCAATACAAATTATATTTATAGACAATTACGGCTGAGGTGCCAAGTTTTTTTGGGAATCATTTCGACAGTAATCACCACCTTCAAAAACTCCTATCATTTTATTTCATCTTATTTCAGAGCCAGGCAGGTCTATCAAATGGATAATAAATCACCCGTCAGTTACTTTCCCAATTTTTGTTATAAATCTTGAAAGAAGAGTAATTTTAATTTTGAAGCGCCATTTCAGGCTGATGATGTATTATGTTATGTACCTATACTGAGTGAAAAAAAAGGTGAACACCTACGTATGTTTATCCGATTTTACTAATTTTTGACACGAATGTTCAGTGTCCCTTACTAGTAAAATGATTAAATTTTCAGCTTGATTCGTCAACTGACTGCAGAAGCTGGTGCGATAATGTGTTGAGGATCCACGATTTCTTATACACTCATTGACACGCCTGGCCATCGTGCTGATTAGGTGATCGATATCCTGTTGGAGTATCTCATTCCAGGCTACTGCAAATTCGTGCTTCGTGATTAAGAGCTGCTAAAGTCTGTGGATAGGGTTGCAAATTCAAGAGCCTGTGACCTATCATGTCCCAGATATGTTAATTGGAGATAGGTCAGGCGATCGTCGTGGCCAAGGTAAACGGTTGATGCGATGTTGATCCATGAAGGCTAACGATGCTCTGACAGCATGCGGTCTGGAATTGTCTTGCTGAACAATTGGTTTTTGGATGGTGTTTAGGTGTGAAATAAGATGAGGCTCCACAACTTCTTGAATATAGCGACGGGGTGTCATATTGCCCCTGATGAAAATTAGTGGTGATCTGATACCATAAGCAATAGCACCCCATACCATAACTCCCACGGTGAGGTAAACGTGACGCTCTCTGTCAAATTGTGGGTCACGTCTTTCACCACGTCCGTTGCACGTCGCCTTCTCACTCTTGCCCGACCATCGTGCATCCCCAGACGGAAGCGGGATTCGTCACTAAAGACCACCTGATTCCATTCCCAGTTCCATAGAATTCTTTCTCTACACCAGACCAAACGGTTACGCCGATGTTCAGCTGTGAGAGGTAGCATCCAATGTGGGCGATAAGAAAAAAGGCCCGTACGCATATCAACCATCCTTCCATGCTGCTCGATGGCCCGAGTACTACTGAATCTCAGTGTTGCCAGACGATTATTTTTTTCTCCCTAGATATTTTGCCGAAATTTCCCCAGATTTCCTTATCAACTTAAAAAACCATGTTTATTTTAGAATTCCTTTTATATATTTAATATTCATCTTAATATTGTTTTTAATTTGGGGTAGGAGTATTGATAATAATAAAAAATATTCTGTATAAATAGCGAACTAACGAAAATGCATAACATAAAATATCTTGTTTTTAAGAAAACAATAAAGCAAAATAATCAAAAGTAGGTACCTATTTTAATTTGATTTTGAGATTCATTGTACATTGACGAATCCATTCTTCTAAACAAATCATTAGGGATGCTAAAGTTGTAACGACTGTCATTTTTCAATAAAACTTTGGTATCTAAAATTCCACTTAAACTTTCAGTCCATAATTTATTTCTTATTTTAGTTTTGTTTAGATTTATTTGGGAAAATATCCTTTCGACATTTGCACTTGAATGTGGCAAACTAAACAGATTAAACACAAAATTAGTTAAGGTTGGAAAAATAAGAGAATCATCACCAGATTTTAATGTTGAAACTTTTTCTTAAAATGCTTGAACGCTTAAATTCACATAAATCAAGATTTCTTAGGCAACGCCATTCTTTGTCTATTTCATTTACGTTATCAGTTGTCAAGTTCATCTGGTGATATATGTTTTAGAGTAGCGACAGTTTTGCTTTTATTGCCAAATCTTTAATAAATTTGAAAACAACTTTCTATTAAAAAATCTAAATACCTCTTTCTGAGGTCAAATAAATCTGCATCATTTAGTTTATGTTCATTATTGCTTATAGCACCTGTTACGTAGACACCTAAATAAATGTTTTCTATTTCCACAAAATTATGAGGATTTTTATATTCTACTTTTTCAATCAAAGTCTTATCTAAACAATCCTTTTTCATGTAACAATCCAAAATTGTTCTTAACACATGTTCAACTCGCAATACAGACAACCACCTTGTAAAATTTTATGATGTTTTACTGCTAGAAAATCCTGAAATTCTGCAAATTCAGTTTGTCGTTTAAAACAGTATTGTAGATATGTATGAACATCTCTAGCCATTTGTTCAATGTGATCTGGTAATTTAGCACAAGCATAATTAACACATAAACTAAATGAATGACAGACACATTTCATAATGAATAAATTAGGAATATCGGCTTTTAGTTTGATGCATAATGAATTGTGAATTCTCATCATAGCACTTGCACCATCTGATACAAAGCCTATTAGATTTTCTTTATAATTAATATTACATTTTAAAAAATAATTTACAATAGTGTTGTAAAGTCCTTCTGCCGTTGCATCTACTACAGGCAATAGACCAAAGAACATGTCAGTAATTTTATGTTCATAAAAAATACTTGCCACTAAAGCTAAATGTTTAATTTCGCCTTTATCGGTAGATTCATCAGCAATTAATGAAAATTTATTTGTTTGTAATAAATTAATGGAATTTTCAAAACTGTACTGCCCTAAAACATTATTGACAATAGCTGTAGCTTTGGTGCAAGACCATGTGAAATTTTTAGCAATCTGAATCGTCAAATGATATTCTAATAATTTCTGATAAATGGACTATAAATGAAATGTTATGTTCAGCTGCATATGCTGCAATTCGAATTTCAGCAGTTTTGATTTTGTTATTTAAAGATATTTTTTCCATATAAGATTTCATATCAGTCAAAGTTTTTTGTGTGTGTAATGATTTTACCAATTTGGTGTGTTGTTTTCCTGAAGAATGTTTCTGGATTTCCGACTTGCCACATATGAAATCTTTATTGCATGCCTTGCAGAATGCATAATTGGACCCTTTCTTGCTGCTCCTCAGCCAACCTTTAAATTCAGGTTCTTGTTCCAATGCAGCGGTATATTTCTGAGTATAAGACTTTATGATTTTTTATTTTTTCTTATGTGTCCAGCTTCTTCAGAAGAAGATGGTGAGGATTCCAATTCATCAGCATGTTTAGAAGTTGATGGCTGAGGTGCAATTGAGTGACATGATGTTACATCTGTAATTATAAAGAAACAACAGTAAACAAATTTAGAAGTTTGGTTTAAAATACATGGATCAATATTTCATTAATTTATAGAAATATTTTTTCATCAACCTTAATACTAGATAATTAATTTCTGAGTAAACTCTGAAAAACCTCCCCGATCAACTGTAATAATTGGAAAAGTAAATATTTTATAATAAATAAATCGGTACTTAGGTACCTATGGCAAATAACTTCAATGTCGAAAAACTTTGATGATTATTCGTTAATAATTTTAGAGCACAAACTAAAAACAATAGTTATTCTAAGGCACAGTTAGTACAGGGCACAATCCGTACAATTACATATAAACAGCAGGAAATGCAACAGAAACCACCCGGCGGTTTATATATATTATATTATAGCCCAGGTATTTCCCCGTATGTAAAATACCGTTCTGGTATTCACCAATGTTATGAGTTATGATTTCCGACCGGTTTGTTGATACAATTTGGTGTTCGTACATTTTAATATATTTTGAATAATATTTTATAGGTACAATCGGAAGGTATTTTAAAAGTAATATATTTGTTTCTAAGTTTATTCTCTATCCCTCGTTTATTTTTTTGTCCCTGCTGCTTAAAATTGTCTTACAGAGTTTAGAATTCCCTAGATTTTGTACAAGTTTAAATAAATTTACCTTCTTCCCTAAGCTTGCTCGTAATTCCCTAAATACAAGGAAATTTCCCTAGGTCTGGTAACACTGCTGAATCTGTCTCTCAGAGCCAGAAGTCTTAACCGGCGGTCTTATCGCTCTGTGGTTCCTCTAGGACGTCCAGAACCCCTCGCTCGCTGTCCTCGGCTTTCCTGAGTCCACGCTCGTTCACACTGCAGTATACTGCGTAGGGAGCTGTTGGTTCCCCTAGAAACTTCTCTTATCGATAGGCAGCCTTCGCGTAACCCGACAATTCGACCCCTCTCAAAGTCCGGCGAATTCTAGGCACTCTAGGCATTTTGAGCAATCACACAAAGGTTTCTCAATTAGCTACCCGACATTTAACATTTAACAGACTCCGTAAATGTACGAAAATCGAATGCTTCTTTATCACCAAACAATACACGCAGCCATCACAAAAACTTAACAGAAAAAGCTGACCATTTTATAAGTTGTTGTTCAAGGCAACATAAATCGATATGTAAAATTTTTTTGAATTCTAATAAACATACGTAGGTGTTTACCTTTTTTTGGCACTCAGTATACATGTATATTTTTGGACAGTGTATCGTAACCGGTTTCTACCTTCTAGGAGTTCCACTGGCGCTGCCGTTAAGCCCTAGGTAATGAGTTATATATGCCTTCATTTGTTTTCTGTGCATTGAACTTGACGGCCTATTTCAAGAATGGGCCGGTCCTTATAAGCTTGTCGTGCCACGTGTTATTGCAGTCTTCTGATGTTGTCCATCATATCAGCTTTATGGAAGATTCCACATCAAGTAGAGCTGTATATTTCATCACGGATACATGTTGATACCGTATGGCATAACGCCATATAAGTTTTTCAGTCGAGAATCACGCAACGCTGACAGAAACAGGCATTTCATGTTGATTCCGGAAACAGAGGTTGCACGGCAATCAAGTGCAATGGGAAAAGGAAGTCTGCCGCCTATTTGCAAAGCTATGTGACAAAAGTTTGCCTCGAAAAGGAGCAAATAAGGAGTGAGCCTAAATTACAATTATCTCTAACAAAAGCAATTAATCCTTGGTATCAGAAACCATGTCCACTCCAAATCAAGTAGTGATACTCGAGATATTTTAGAAGGTCTTTTTTGATGGACGATTGCATAACCAAGCTCAGTCAGCAGAACTATAGCACAAAAATTGTCTGAATCTGTAAACTTGCGGTCTTCCGGGAATCATTATTGATATTGGTCGTACCCATTAGGTTCTTGATTGCCTTATGTTTGAAAGATTTACTTCCCTCGCAACGTGAGACAACTGGAATTCTTGATATTGATGGCATTTAGTTGTTGGAGGAGCATCAGATGTGGAGTTGGCTGCAAATATCTTGAAGAGTCATTAAAATGACTTAGATCTTCTGTAGACCATGTCCAAAGATAATCTTCCAATCAAAGTTTATGTTATTACATGAAAAATTTTGTCAACCTGCTTGACGTCATGTTTAAATCTCTCCCATCTTTAACAGAATAACACCTTAGTCACAGAACCGATGATTATAATCAAGATGATAACAGACAACAGTGGCTCCCAGGCGAGCGGATCATCTTGAAGATCAGATGGATCTGATGGGGCAGCTTTGAATCGGATGAATCAAATGTTTCATTCACCATTAATATTGTAAGTCGCACATCAGAAATGTGATTCTTACTGAATTTCCACTTTTGAAACCGATTTCGGTATCGCATTTCGGTGCTCCATATGATCCGACATGATTTAGTAATGAGTCTAGGAATCTCGGTGTCACTCTCGATACTAATTTATAATTCAAGAGTCTTGTTCTATTCGCTAATGGGCGTTTTGCCATCTGCACCGAGAAAAACTAACTTAGCTCACTAAAAGGAGTTTGCACGCTTTTCTTTATGAAACTCGATACTTTGACGACTTTTTACTATGCAGTATTTCTCCGCAGACTGCTCAAAGCTGGTATGCCTAAATATCTAAAAGAAAAACTACTTTTCTCCACTGAAGTTCACAATAGAACCCTTAGGCCCGATTTTACTAAGCCGGGGTGCAAAAAAGTGCGTGGATCATAAATTCAATCAATGAGCACAGGCGTCTTTGAAATGTCTCTGAAACTAGAGAATAATTATACGGTTTGTGTAAGATGGGCCCCTAATTCCCATATTAAATCAAGAGATACGTCATAAATTACTTGGTCTAGTTACAAAAGTTTTTTTTTTCATTTGCGTCCGAATACTAAATTAGCGGACATGGTCATAAAATGCACCAATGAAAAAGAAGCAATTGCGCCATACTCGAAGCAGCATGGACACAAATTTTATACAATATCTCTATTGCTATGACAGTAATTAGATGAGCATTTTATTGAATTAAACAGTGCCTCACTGTTGCTGTAAAAAATTCTGCTTGATAAATTATTTTAGAACATAAATATTCTTTAACAAACATCGAGTAAACAAATATTCAATTTACTTAACTACCGTGCGAAACACCCTGTTCCTCAAACCAGCAGGGGTATTACGCATCTTGGAAAGTGACATTATGTTGGTTTTTTGACATTATATAGTTTTTTGTGACAATATGTAGGTTTTTCTACAAGATGTCAACTTAGCACTAGCGATGTACACTTGCTGTGTGCTCGTTCCGTAGCTGTACGTGTTGCCCAAACGTCATGATAATTCAGCTATCAATGTTTTGCTCTGATATGATCAAGTCAAGTCATCGTTGGTTGTCAGAGCGGTCCGTGGGACCTTAGCTCTTGAGTCGCTGTGTCAGTTTGTAAGTCTGTCAGGTCTGGTAACCCAGAAACCAGACAATTTTAAGGAAAAAAGGGGAAGGAAAGGAGAGAAGGAAGAACGAGAGCAAAGGGGAAGAAGAGAATCTTTTAGGATATGCAGCGTTTAGGCATTGTTAAAATCGCTTCACAGATTTTGATATGGTCTAAAAATATTTGATTTTTTCTAAAGATTGTGTAAAAATGCTCCAATTTTGGTTGTTCTAAGTTCACGAGTTAATTTTGATTACAGTGCGAGCCGCGGCCTTTTGTGCTTGCGAACTTGCTCGACTGTGTAGTCCACTGACTCACGCAACAGAGGGTTGCTGTGCGATTCCGCTAGGCTATAGCGCCGCTGCGCCTGTTGCTTAATGTAGTCCTTTAGGTAAGGGACATCGAGGTCTCTATGTAGAGTTTCGTTAGAGACATACCATGGGGCATCAGCAATAGTGCGCAACGTCCTGCTTTGCAGAACCTGCAGACTTCGCATGTGTGTTTTAGCAATAAAACACCAAGCCGCACATGCGTATGTCATTGCTGGTCTTATGACCACCTTATAGAGTCGAATCTTGTTAATCAAACTTAATTTTGACCGTTTACATAATAATGGGTAAAGCTGCCGAAACGTAATTTGGAATTTAGTTTTTAGCGCTTCCATATGGTTCCGCCAAGTCATCCCTTTGTCCAGAATGACACCGAGATACTTAGCGGAGGATTCCCATGGTATACGAAGTCCATTCATTGAAACTTCAGACGGAACGCCGCGACGTCTTTTTGTACAGTAGATTGCCTGCGTTTTCGAATGGTTTATTTTAATTAGCCACCGATCCGCCCAATCTAATACTTCTTCCACCGCACTTTGCAGCCTGTCATGGACTAGGTCACCAGACCACGACTGAGCCACCAATGCAGTATCGTCAGCATAGAGATAGACTTCACAGTTGCTGGGACTAGGGACGTCATGGATGTACAGTGAGTAAAGGATAGGTCCAAGGACCGAACCCTGAGGGACGCCGGCTGTAATCAGCCGTGTTGTCGACAGCACATTGTCAATTTTGATCCGAAATTTCGTACCTTCAAGGAAGGATTTCAGTAGTTTTAGAAGCCAAAAAGGGAAGCCCTTTTGGATTAGTTTATACAAGAGGCCCGCGTGCCACACCTTGTCAAATGCTTTTGAGACATCCAAAAGCAAGATGCCAGTACTTTCGTTAAGGGTGAATCCTCTGGTTACACGTTCTACCAGCCTAACCGCCTGTAGCTCCGTACTATGTTCAGACCGAAAACCGAATTGCACGTCAGGAATCACATGGTGATCTGACGAGAAATTCTCAAGGTGACGTAGAATCACCTTTTCAGCGAGCTTAGACGCAGCTGACAGCAGGCTAATGGGACGATAATCCTGGGGAAATATCGAACCCACCTTCTTTGGAATCATTATAACTTCAGCGGTCTTCCACGCGGATGGGAAGTACTGGATCCTCAGCATGGCATTGACTATTGCCACGAGATAAGTTAAGGACTTCCGCGAAAGCAGCTTCAGCGCCTTATTAGTGATTTGATCCTCCCCAGGTGCTTTACGCACTTTAAGGTCTTTAATATGACCTTGAATCTCTGCTGGTGTGCAATGCGGGATCTCAGGAGATACCGCTGATGTGCTAAGCAAATCTTTGGTTGAAGAAGCTTCTGAAGAAGAATCTTCTGATGAAGAAAAATCACCAACGAATGCGCGACTGTCACTGACGCCGTTGGCCCTAAAATATCTCCTGACAGATCTTACGATGTGTTGCTCCTCGTCGAGGTCATTATCAAGATCATAGTTGGGAGAGAACTGTCTTTCCATGGCATCGGCGAAAACCTCAACCTTCTCCTCTGTCCTGAAGACAATGCCTCCAGGACCGTGAATGTGTGGGATTTGTTCACGCTTTCCGTTTTTGAGCGACTTCGCCACCTTCCAGAGAGTAATGCTTGAGTCAAGCATCCCCGCCAGAAAGTCGTTCCATTGCTCATTGCGGAATTCATGAAGAGCATTTCTTACTTCATGAACAAGATTCGT